GTCGAAAAGAAGGTTTTTGATGAAAACATTCCAGCATTTTTCTCCATAGAATGCACTTCAGTGGGAACCAAACGGTTCAAGGTCCAAAAGACACTTTCAGTACAAACTGGGAACTGTTTAAAGGGCTTTAAATGATTCCAGACGATGAATAAGGGTCTTATCAAGCGAAACAATCGCTCATTTAAAAAAAAAAAAACAAATAACAAAGTTTAAGTTTTAGAAGCTCAAATGCTCGCCTTACTCTGTACTGCGATGCACGTTCGTGACTCTCCTGTTTGAACTCGTTCAGTAAAATGAACGAATCTTTTTCCGACTTAATTCGTTCGTTTCGTTTGTTGAATGAACCAAATGACTCGAAAAAAGATTTGTTCATTTTGATGAACGAGTTCGAACTGGAGAGTCACAAACGTGCTTCACAGAACAGAGCAAGGCAAGCATTTGAGCTTATAAAAATTTAACTTTGTTATTTATTTAATAAATGAGCGATCATTTCACTTGATATACACTTATTCATCGTCTGGAATCGTTTAAAGCCCTTTGAACAGTTTGCAGTTTGTACTGAAAGTGTCTTTTGTACCTTGAACCGTTTGGTTCCCACTGAAGTGCATTATATGGAGAAAAATGCTGGAGTGTTTTTCAAAAACCTTCATTTCTTTTTGACTAAAGAAAGAATGGCATGGACATCTTGGATGACATGGAGGTGAGTAAAATATCAGCAAAAGTTTTTTTTTTTTTTTTTTCAAAGTGAACTACTCCTTTAACTACTTTCCCCACCATTGATGAAAATTTCAGTAATTCAATAAAAATGCTTCACTGTGTTTTGTGTTTTCACTGTTATACAGTATAGGGGGCGCTATTAGGCATCTTCTGAAAGAGTGCTGAATCTCCTAATCAAAACACAGGTGAAGAAGCAGGAACGAGTGATAGCATGCAATCATATGCGTATGTAAAATAATACGATCATCAATATCAATTCAAAACTGTCTAATGTGAATGAAATGTCTACCAGGACGAGCTATAGGACTGTGTAGCTTTGGGGGTGTTGACGGACTCGATCTGCTCCATCTATGTTTTGATCACTGTATTGAATCGTATCTTATCCGAAGCAGAGGTTCTGTTCTTTCCAAAGACATGTAAACGAACCAAAAACGGGAAGATGAGACTCATAGTCGTGATATTGCCCATCACAGTTCGGTACAGGAATCAGAACTGCGTCTCCTTCCAAAGAGTGTCTTTATGGGTGTGACGGAGGGATGCCTGTTGTTGTTTTGACTACTTTAAACATTTTATAAGTTCTCTACAAGCTCTCAGCTGGTCTAAATACCGTCATGTAGGCTCTGCACATTCAACAAGCACATTAAGCCCAGCCAGCACACAGCATATTTTTAGATGTTCATTACGTTTCGTCTCGAAATATAGGCTGTGTCAAGTCATAAAAGCTGATCAATCACGTTGTGAACGTATCCCTATGCCTAGGTTCGGTGTTAAACATGCCGATATGAATGCTAAGCAGACCAGAACTTCTCCTCTGGCAGATCACCTCTGCCCTTTCCCAGCTCCAGCAATGCTCAAAACAAAAGGAATGAACAGAGAGAACAAGGAGAGAAGTTGAAGGGCTGGGTAGGGCACTCTCAGACAAGCTAACAGCCTAGGTAATATATAATTTTACACTTCATTTTCTTAAATCTCACTCGAGATTTTTGACAATGTCAAGTTAGAAAGAGGCTAATCACAGTCTTTTCTTGGTCTCCCTCCACCATCCAGGCCTTTTTAAAAGGAAACAGAGAGCTACTTTTATGTGATCTTGTTTTTTTTCTACCAGAGCTCAAAGCCACATGTGTGCATCCAATGTCTTCTCAGTAAATCCAAGTCACTCCTCCCTGGTCCTCGAAAGCGGAATGTTTACTTACAAAAAAAAAAAAATGCTCTCTACACCTGCTTTTCCTCTTCTGCTCATTTATAAACTCTCTGAATTACAATTTCACAGAAAAAAGCTAATTCAGAGACTCATACGTTACTACACATTTATTCTTGTTCTGAAATAAATGGTTATAGAAAGATTTGTCACCCGTAAATTCCACAAAAACAAAGGCCATGTACACATTAAAGCTCCATGACAGATATTATCAAGGTATTTTACAGAAAAGATTAAATGAAAATGTTACATTATAAAAAGTATTGCAAATTTAAGCTTTTATGTCAGTATGTTTGAATGTTTTTTTTTTTTTTTTTTATCTGCAAACCTAAAATCTTCATAATGTTAAAGATTACAATTTAGGCCTAAATGTTTTTTTTTTTTTTTTTTTTTCGTTTTAATCAATGAATCCTGACAAAGTTTTCCATACAAAATATTCAGCACAGCTGTTTTCATGAGAACCAAATCAGCATATTAAAATGATTTCTGAGAGATCGTGTCACTGAAGACTCTAATGATGCTGAAAATTCAGCTTTGCAGAATAAATTACATTTCAAAATATAATTAATAGAAAACAGTTATTTTAAATTCTGAGTTAAAACTATTAATGTGTTTTACTGTATTTTGATCCAATTAACAGCAACATTGCTGGCCATTACAGACATTGAAAAAAAAAAAAAAAACATTAAAAAGGTAGGTTTTTTTAAAATCGTCCCCTTGGAATTATAAGGTTCTATCTGACATTTTTGTCAAAATTTAGTTATTCACATTTTCTTATTCTGTGGCAATTTATTTACATTATGTGATGTGTTTTGTACATTTAGGGTCCCTTTTATTTTTATGTTTGAAAGAAACATGTTCCCCATACACATTTTCCTATATGGAATGCAAAAACTTTGAAGCTCAATATCTCAAAACTGCTCAGAACTCAGATAGAACCTTATAATTCCAAGGGGACGAAATATCAAAAGTGCATATTTTAAAAAGTATAGTAGAAATTATATCAAATTACATGAACCAAATAAAATGTATATTGCCTATTGTTAAATGCGAACGTTTTGGACATGCACCACACGTCTCAAAAAAAATTATGTGGTGTGTGTTTGTGTGTATCCAAAACGTTCGCTCTTTCTGAGCTTTAGAGGGAGTGAGATGTCTGCCTTCGTTGGGAGTAATTTCCAGGCCCTGCGTGTGTGGGCAAGTGATATGTAGGCAGCAGGCTGTTTCTAGGAGCTTCTCATTGCTCTCTCACGGGCACGTAGTGCTGCAAAATTCCATTAACAATCTCACAGCTCGGACGCGACTGCACACTGAGTCTGGCCGCACAGGTGGGCTGTCATCTCTCGATAGAAGAGCAGCCCCTCTCTGCTCAGTACTACCGTCCTCCCGTGGCCAGTCATGTAGAATATTCTGGCAATCCGACTATAGTGAGAATTGGGGTTAACACAACAGGAAGGTCCTGTGATTTCCTGGAACACAATAATAACAGCGCCGAAAAAGATCTGAATCTTGCATTCTGCCTATCACCACGCATTATGAGGGGTCTTTAAATTAGCAGAAGTCTTATTAGTTATATTGTAACAGAAGTATTGTTAGCTCTATTATTTGGCAAATAATTGACAATAAAATGGCTCACGATTTGTATTTCCACTCCACTTGTGTTTCATTTATTGTTTTGTGACTCCTGTAGGGGGCGACAAAAGTATCATTGAATCGCTCACTCAAATGATTCGTTTACACTGCTCTGAGACGCGCAGCAGTCATTTTTTTATTTTCTGTGGGGTTTGGAATACTTTTTGGTTGGAGAAAAAAATAGACACGGTAACTGGCAATATTTAATACTCGATAAATACTAGCTTTGCATATTGAAATGCTGTAGTAGGCTGGCCTAGCAGTGGCAACACTAGTGCTGTTTTTCCAAACATTGCGTGGTGTGCATGGTGATGAAATGTGCTTTCTATTTAACGTTACCTATTATTGTTCCTAAAGAGAGTACCAGAACCACTCCCTAGTATCCAAACTCAGCAACTTTAGTATGAACGTGTTAATAAAGAGTTAGACAATAATTTAGTTTTACTTTTACAGCGTCGTCTTCAGTAACGTTGGAGAGTTTGATTCATCAATGTGAATCCTTTCAAACTGTCCATTTTGATTAATCGTTTCAGACATCTGATTATTTGCATGTTCAACCGAAAAATTTAAAGTATCCTTTTGTCATGTTTTAAATATCTAATTTCGTGTATTGAATTATTTTTAGTATTAATTATTATTATTATTTGTTGTTGTAAAATTTGTGCAGTAAATACATATACAAAAAATGTGTTCAGTAACGGTTTGGAAAACATGCAAACATTATTTAAAACAAACAACAACTGCATTGGTTTAAATGTTTGCAATAAATTGCAATTAATAAATACATACATATATTCAAAGGTGAAAAATATATCAAGATTATTTATTTAATCAATATATTTTTTTAGCTGTATCATCCAGCCTTTATAAAGTTGCTCGGCCGCATAAATGAATGCTTATTTTGTGAGTTCCCACATCCTAAACAAGTATATTTCATTTTACTGGATTAAAATTGCACTGACATGTCTGTGTCACCTCAAATTATTTAGCTAATAAAAATTATTCCAATGATGCTGCATGTTTATAGTGCCTGTAAATATTAGTTCAGCTCTGAGCTAGACATGCACCACAAATATCCAGGTCAAGGACTATTGTTGTCTCTCACACACATACCCCCCCTCTCTCACACACACATACACGCACTCTCTCTCTCATCTCTCACATTGTATCTTGTTTCACATTGTATATTGTATCTCATCTCTTTCTCAATTTCAGTGGTCATGACATTAAAAACTATCAATTTGTGGTAAAACACTTTTTGGTTGTACTCCCCCAAGGCATTCCCACAGTAACCCTTGACCGAAACCACCAAGACATTTGTCATTGCACTTTTTCTTTGCTTTTGTATATCCTTGCAAATGTCATTTGAAATGAGAATCTATTGGTGGCTTGGATTACATCGCATGCTCTGTGCCGTGCATCTTACAGCCTGTCATAATTTCTTTGCCCCAAGGTGTCCGTGACATTTGTTGTGGGTTCAGAAGTTCACCAAGAGACCACGAATGACTTCACCCAAATCGGGAAACCTTTTCTAATGGGAACAGTAGCTCTCGGTAAGACAAACCCCTCTCTCTCACGTATATATTTGGACAATTACGTCACACTCAAAAATACAGTTTCATAGCATCAGCAACAAAACGTCAAGTGACACCATCCAACATTATGTAGCTTCTCTCAGAACAAACTTAATTTTTGCAATGGCTTTTAAAGTCACCATCATCAAATAACATTTAATAAGAATATCGCATTGTTTATTATAAATTATGTGTCTGTTGCTGACAACTTTTATTAATTTTTTTACTTATTAGTGTTAGTTTGAGTTATTTTAGCACTTTGTTAAACTAAAAGCAAATGAGAAATGTTTAACGTTTATTTTGTTTGAAGTAACGGAAATTATTTTTCATTTTTTAATTATTAGTTTTAGTTCAAAATAAAAACCTTGGATCACAAAAAAAATAAATAAATAAAGTCTCGCCTTAGGTCACAAGAGAAGGAAAGCTGATTGCAATTTCCGTTTCATGCCCACTTAAACAACCGGCCATCAAGTCAATTCCATTTGCATTAAAGGAGTAGTTCACTTTAAAAAAAAAAAAAAAAAAAAACTTTTGCTGATAATTTACTCACCCCCATGTCATCCAAGATATCCATGTCTTTCTTTCTTCAGTCGGAAAAGAAATTAATGTTTCTGACGAAAACCTTTTAGAATTTTTCTCCATATAATGGACTTTACTGGTAACCAAACGGTTCAAGGTCCAAAAGACAGTTTCAGTGCAAACTGCAAACTGTTTAAAGGGCTTTAAACTATTTCAGACAAAGAATAAGGGTCTTATCAAGTGAAACGATCGCTCATTTAAAAAAATAAAAAAATAAAAATAACGGAGGTTAATTTTTATAAGCTCAAATCTTGCTCTCTTCTGTGATGCACGTTCGTCACTCTCCTGTTCAAACTCGTTTATCAAAATGAACAAATCTTTTTTTTTTTTTTTTTCGTGTCATTTGGTTCATTCAACCATATCCATAATAAAGGCTAGATGTCTCGTCCGCGCTGCTGGCCAATCGAGGTCGACGTCCGCACCCGGTGGCCATCTTGGCACAGGAAGCTCGCTCACTCGTAACATTAGCTGTGTCTGAAATCGCTCCCTATCCACTATATAGTGCACTATATCGGGTGTCGGCCATTTTGTAGTGGTGTCCGAATTCTGAGTGAACGACATCATTCCCTACATTCATTCACTACTTTTACCCACAATCCTCTCTGAATTCGAGTGTACATTCGATGTACACTTGCTGAAGCCCTATTTCCCACAATCCAATGTGGAGAGAACTGAGCGCCCATGAAAGTGCGGCGCGAGCAAGTTTAAACCAGAGATTACATTACATCCAGTGGAGGATTTGAAAAATATCCGTTAAGCATCGTTAGGAAGCGTATTCGTTTGAATATAATAACGGTCGCCGGAGGGCGCTCGACGACACGTCATCTGTGAACGTGAGAGTTACAATTTCAGTCGATGAAACTACAAAGCTGGCACGGAGGTATAATTACAAAATAAAGTCATTATGATTGTTATTGTTGTTAATATTATTTTATGAAGTAGGTAATGTAAGATAAAAGGAGTTTTATCAGTACGCGTGACGAAGCCTTTTCTGCGAAAGCTCCAACTCTCCGACGCACAGTGTAAACGTCAGCGTCCGAATTCACTCACTTCATCTCGTTCACTCCTTGCAGATATAGTGCACTCAAATGCCATACACTATATAGGGATTAGTGAATGAGTGAACGAGTGAGCGGTTTCAGACACAGCTAATGTGTTTTAATGGTGCATGTTCTTTTTAAATAACCATAACTTGCTCAATTTTCCACCGATTTTCAAAAGGTTTGTATGGTTATAAACATCAGAGTTGAAGTTATGACACTGCATACTTATGAATAATAAGTGTATAAATAAATAATCATCCAGAATTATAGCCACGTTAATAACGTTTGTAAGAAACCAAACCGTATGTAAATCCGATTTGGACAAGAAAAGAGAGAATTTGTGTTCGTGCTGATCACTCATCTTACACCAGGAACCACAGAGCCCACCAGAAAGCTTGCCTGTGACAAGATGGCCGCCTATGATGACGATAGAGACTCCTCCGTAAGACATCCAGCCTTTATTATGGATATCTATGCATCAAACAAAATGAACGAATTGACTCGGAAATAGATACGTTCATTTTGATGAACGATTTCGAACAGGAGAGTCACGAACGCGCATTTGAGCGTTTTTTTGACCATTTGAGCGTATAAAACTTAAACTTTTTTTTTTTTAAATGAGCGATCGTTTTGCTTGATAAGACCCTTATTCATCATCTGGAATCTTTTAAAGCCCTTTGAACAGTTTGCACTGAAACTGTCTTTTGGACCTTTTGAAGTCCATTATATGGAGAAAAATCCTGGAATGTTTTCATCAAAAACTTTAATTTCTTTTTGACTGAAGAAAGAACGACATGGACATCTTGGATGACATGCAGGTGAGTAAATTATCAGCAATTTTTTTTTGCCAAACAAATCTCAATTTTTGGCACTATTTAGCTTGAAATGAGTTTTTGTCTTAAAATGAATGGCCCTTGGATTTGTATTTTATTTAATGGAATGATATTCATACATTTGTAAGTTGAACTGAAGTGCTTTACATGCTTTCTGATGCCAGTTTATTCCAGGAAGAAGACTATTTTGGTTCTCTGTTCATGTAGTAGTGTGTGGGCAGTGGCAATGTCATTGTGTTTGGGTTTAGTGAAGTGAAGTGAAGAGATTTGGAATCTGTAGAGACACCGGTGTGTGTGTTCATTGCAGCTGGTGTGCTGAGCAGTTAATGAAAGTACCTCTCGAACCTTATCACTGTGACAATGTAGATGTTAGCCAGGAGTCCAGGGAATTCTCTCTCTGTCCCTCTCTCTAATCCTGTTAATTGGCTGCCACACTCAGAGCTGTAAGGTCCTCAGGCAGCCAAACCTTGCTGGCCCGCAGGAGGCTCCTGTCAACAGAACAAACAAAATCCGCCTGCGAGAGTCTCACACATCGCCTTGCTCTCATTTACAGCCAAAGCCACTGTGACACCTTTGAATAGACAGCTGCTTGCTCAACGGCTTTTTTAAAGGGCCCAGCATACGCTCCTGTGAAACCTCCAGGTACCTAATGGGCGTCTGCTTTTAAGGAGTCACAAGGCCAGGCTTTGTTTATAGTGACAGCTAAGGGAGTCTCTATCTGTCTCTGATCCAGCTGACAAGAAGAGAATAAGATGATAAGATGGGCCGGTATCATACAGGATCTTAAAAGGAAACAAGAAAATAAAAGGAGGGGGGGGGGCGCTTATAATGCATGTCAGCATACTGTACGGTGGTCACAAGGTTATTAGTGTCTGCTTGGTTAATGCAGATGTTGTGGAATAGGTACAAAAAGTGGAGCAGTCTCACAAGGGCCCACCGTTTGGTTTATTTGTCTGAAATCTGGTTTTGGGCTCTTGGGAGCATCTGCAATTACAAGGGCTCTTACCTTTCGCTGTGCGCCATCTGTTGTAATGTACTGGGTTTAGTCCCCTGCTCCTCGTTCGTATTTATCTTACTGATGATTTTCATTTGGTGCAAGAGAAAACACAGTTGTGACTGTCAGCACTTTTAAGAGAACATTTTAGAGCTGCTCTCAATTCCCTAGATTTTTTATAAGAGTTACTAACACTGAGGGTAGACTTTTAAAATGGACCGTTTCATTTATACTTGTTCTGATTGGATGAGCCTCATTCAAAGCCATTTTAAAATGCAAATAAACTCACAACTGTGACTGCACTTTTTAAATGAATGTGAAAAGTTTCTATATGTAAACTGTAAACAGCCTATAGTTAGACTAATAAAGAATATTACATGAGAAGCAAGAGAATTTTAAAATAGATGTATAAAATAAGATGTGTGTGTTTTGCATGGATATTTTTTTTTATTGTATTACATGTCTAAAAATATTCTTTTACCATTTCTCTATAAGTATTTCATTGCTTACTGCTTTTTACAAGTTGTTCCTGAAAAGCTTATACGTGGTTAATGGAATATTATTGTCTACAATATTTTTGTTTTTAATTTCCATTTATTAATCCAGCCAGAGGAATGTACTTAAATGATGTTTAAATAACACTTTTCAGCCATTTAATTAATTTGATAAATCACTGTAAATGTGTTTCATGTTGTGACATCTAAATTAATCTGGTATTAAAAAAATAGAATCAGCTTGAATAGGTTTTTACACCATCAAAAAAACAATAAAAATAAAAAAATGTAATGGTAAGTTTAGGTAGCTTGTTAAGCTAAACATTGCATTTTCAGTTAACATTGGTTAAGTAATGTCAACATTATTTTGACTAATATGTTTCTTCCAATCAGGTGGGATTGTCAACGTCATGCCTTTTTCATTTTCTGAAATCTCCCATGTTAAAACACAGGTAATATTATTATAATTAATATCATATTAATCCCTTTTGTTGTGCATTAAACTGTATCATGAGGATTCTACATTGTAATGGAAGTATTTTGGACAGGTCTTATGGTTCAGAAGAGCTGTACTAGGGGACTTGCCACATGCACACTCTTAAATATATTATGGTAAGTTTTGATTTTTCTTATTACAAATATATTAGCTTTTTATTATCATCATTATCAGTGTTGGGGGTAATGCGTTACATAACGTGTGTTATGTAACAATAACACATTACTTTAAATTTACACATTAATATTTGAGTACCTTTTTTTCGAATTACTTTTCAGTTTAATTAATGTGCATTCAAAAAAATGTAAGTACTGAATTAAAACGAACGTACATGTAGTCACATAGAATCGTGCATGTACAGGCATGTGCAGGCCAGGAACTTTACCTTACTGCGATTGGAAATGTTCTCATTATTTTGAAATCGTCGAAGAAAAAAAGGGTATAGTGGTTAAGTGTAGATTATGTGTAAGTGAAAAGCTCTTGTCAACTGCAAAAAACACCACTTCAAAAAAAGCACAAAAAAAACATCTGTAAGCAAAGCACAGCACTACAGAGTTGACAGAGAGAGAGACCCGAATGATACCTGCACCCCGCCTCAAGCTAAACAACAAACGCTTGATTTCAGTTCACGGTCATCACCAGGTCAAACAATTAGTTTGACTGAACTCAACAAATTTGTTGCTGCTTTTATTGTTGCGGAGATGCAGCCACTGTCCATATAAAGGTGCCCACATTTCATAATATCATCAGCAAAATTTCTGTTTCAGGGCTGATCCCCTATCGCAAAACTCTTAGTATTAATGGGTTAGTTCACCCAAAAATTTAAATTCTGTCAGTTTTTACTCACCCTCATGTTGTTCTAACCCCATAAGACCTTCGTTCATCTTCGGAACAAAAAAACATTAAGATATTTTGGTAACACTTTATTTTACGACCCACAAACAACTGTGTAAGTACACCGAAATTACGGTGTACGTTTCTGTAATTATAGTGTACTTCTGTGTAAGTATAAGGGAACAATATGTTAAGTTTGGGGTAATAAAGGGGTAACAAGCAGATATACAACCTGCAAATAACTTCGTAAGTAGGCCTATACTGAAATTACAGTGTATATTTCTGTAATTATGGTGTACTTCAGTGTTGGTATAAGGGAACAATATGTTAAGTTTGGGGTAATAAGGGGGTAACAAGCAGATGTACAAGCAAATTATTTAATTAGTTAAAAAATAACAGGTACCTATTCTGTTAATATATTCCAGGCAAAGTTTGTACGTCTGTTTTTTATAAAATGTATCACATTTCTGGCAAAACATGTTCAGGATAATTTTGACATCTGTTTTGACATCTGACAATTTTTTTTTCTTGATAACAGTACATTTCTCTGTAATTACATTGCAAAAAGTGTTGTTTCGTTCTAGTAAGTAGCGTTTGTTACCCCCTTGTTCTGCGTAGTTACAGGGCAAGTGTAACTCCTGTGGGCTGTAAATTAAAGTGGTTCTTGTTACCCCTTTATTACCCCAAACTTAAAATATTGTTCCCTTATACTTACACGGAAGTACACTATAATTACAGAAACGTACACCGTAATTTCGGTGTACTTACACAGTTGTTTGCGGGTCGTAAAATAAAGTGTTACCGATATTTTTTATTAAATCTGAGAGCTGGATCACTCCTGAATACTAGTCCATAGGCTTCTCGAGGAATTGAAACTTGCTGGCCTCGAAAAGTTATTAAAGACATCGTTGAAATAGTCTAAGTGACTCCAGTGGTTCAATCTTAACTTTATCAAACGACGAGAATAAATTCTCTCTGAATTCATCAAAAATATCTTAATTGGTGTTCCGAATATTAACGAAGGTCTTACGGGGTTGGAACAACATGAGGGCGAGTAAATACTGACAGAATTTTTCATTTTTTGGTGAAGTTTTTGGGTGAACTAACCCTTTAAGATTATACTCTAACATAAAATTAAGATAATACCTTTTTTCCCCCATTGCATTGCAGAACTCTTCTGGAATTTTTTTGTTGCATAAAATGGATTTTGTTTTGAGGACACTTCATAGAAAACTCAAGAGTTTTGATCTATTTAAGTCAACTTGTACATTTATTTATGCCATGTGAAATTGTTCACATTATAAAGCTGACAAATTTTGTTTAATTGGTGATGTTGTTTGTTCTCTAGTATCATATTTTAAATTTTTAAGATAGGTTTGTCTAATATAACTTATTTCATAATAGCAATTATCTAGTGTAAAGCGCCACAAAATCGATCCAATGGCTGGATTCGATTCGTGGTGAAGGTCTCAACCGTCCGTGTTCCGTCTTTCCCGTCTTCCCCAAAGTAATTTTTAATTAAATGTAACACATTTAATTTTATGCATTAACTCGTTTCAACTCACTCCATAAAATGAAAAAGCTTTATCAATGATATATGTGCATCATTGAGACATTATTACCAGTCACCCTGAGACCTTCAAAATGATATCAAACAATTCTTAAAGATTATCACATTCACATTAAAAACATATATTCTTGTGTGAGCGATCTCTGCAAGAGAGTGTGTGTGGATGTGTGTGTGTGTGTGTGCGTGTGAGTGAGTTCACATGTTAATTTGAAAACAAGATCCTTTGTCTTCAGAGGACTCTGGTTAGACTGAGTCTCAGTTTTCCAGTCTTACACTAGCCTATACATTCTTTATTATCACAACGGACAGTGTTACTTTTGTACGAGTGGGTAGACTATGGACTGCATAAAGTAAATTCAAACACATTACTTTCAGTAATCTGTAAGGTTTATAGATCTTTTATATGGCATGTATCAGGAAGTATATCTCAGAATATAATGTTAATACTACTTTTCAATCTATGACTGTTTTTAAAAGAAAATGAAGGTGTAGGTTATATAGGCTGTTGTTGGTTGCATTAATGTGTTAAACAATAGTACAAGAACTTAAAGTAAAACAACATCAACAACAACAAACCACCTGCAAGGCCTGAAAGAGGTCAAGCCATATCCAGGTAAGAAAAAGCAACTCAAAAGTAATGTAACATATTACTTTCCATAAACTTAGTATTGCAATTAGTTACTTTTTTGGGGAGTAACTCAATATTGTAATGCATTGCTTTAAAAAGTAACACTAACCATTATTAAATCTAGGCCATTTAAAGAAATGGCTAATCCAAAATGAAAATTGTGTTCACACTCATGTCATTACACACGAATGACTTTCTTCTACACAAAAAGAAATATTGACAAAGCTTTCATTCCATTCAATGAAAGGATTTACAGAAATGATAAAAAGCTCCCTATAATTACCAAATAGCACAATATTTTTGTGTGAGGAGGAACTGAACGAAGAGATTTTTTCGGTGAACTGTCCTTTTAATGCTCTTTTAATATTATGCACATTCAACTAGATCGAGTCAATATGAAGCCAGCTTCAAGTTATCTTTTGTTACAAAGGTGATGTGTCCTTCAGTTTAATTGAAATGTAGGACTACTGTCAAGTTCAAAGTTAACAATACAAAGCCCTCCCTGCTCATTTGTCACAGCACTTACCGTTTTTAAAATAACCCAGAAAGAGCTGAACCAAATGACTTCCATCTCAAGTACATGCAGACGTCTGTGTCTCCCTCCTGAGTTGGCCGCTTGTCCTCCATTCCTTATGTCTCTCTGGTTTTAGCACACCCTGAAAACCTCTCCAACACACTGACATTTCATCTAATCATCTGTAAAGAAGTTATTGAGTTACCAATCAGCACTATGTTACTCAGGAGACCCAAAGCAATTATATTGGAGCAGATGAGATGAAAGGAGATGGATACAGGAGATGAGTTCTCGTGTCGGCCTCTTCGGAGACCCAGAATGCACTGCTGCATCCCTGCCACTATGGCAGAACTTTGTCTTTCTCTCATATCATTTCTCTCATATCATAGATTTACACTCAACCGCTGATGGAAGACAGTGTTTGAACTTGTGTTTGGCAATGGAAAGCATCTAGCCTGACTTCGTCATACTCATATTCAAGAGAGAATATGAGTCTGAAACTCCTCAGTTGGGCTTTGATCATGAGGCGTGTCATAACCGAACCAGGAAAAAAAAAAAACCTCTGCACTCAATTGGATAGTCGGTAGACCTACAACCAATCAGAGCAACGCAGTAAGTCAACTCCTTTGCATAGCGCAGTTTTCAAATACAGAACGTAGCCTTTATTTATTTTAGAAGTTAAATAACGAGTGTTGCTTCTTTTACTTACTTCTCCATGACTGCCACCAAAGGAGAAACCACAACGACCACAGGCTTTTCATTACGTCCCATCTTCTTAACGACCGTCAGAGCCAGCTGATAAGTTACACCCAAATCATGTAGGAAGGACGCCAAAAATATCTTTCCGATCGACAAATGCCTTGATTGCAGTTCTCTGTTTGTCTATTAAAATGAATGCACTGTCGATTTATTTTACAAAAGACGCGACAGCGGAATCTATACATCTCAATTCTCCAGCTGCAGTCATCTTCGACAAGCGCTCTTTGATAACGTGATTATTACGTCCCTGCAGATCATCTGTCCATCATCGTATAAAGCCCGCCCTGGCAATTTGATTGGCCCGTTCATTTTTTGCCTGATCATAATTTCTCCTCAATGGATTGAGTCCAGACCGAACTTCCCGACCAAAAAATGTTGTGGGCGGAGTTCGGGCAGGCATCAAGGCGAGAAAACATCATCTTTCCATCCCAGCTAAATCTATTGTTATCTGAAGATTTGTTTCGATAAACACACATCGATACATTCACACATTGTTTACTCAACAGAGATAGGATGGTTCACACTTGGTAGGTTTGGTTTGATTTGATTAAAACAAACTCTTGTATGATTGCTCTGTTAGTATGGTTCATTTGAACGCTCAAGTGTGAACGCTGCCATTCAATCCCTGGTGCGCAATGAAAAAGTCGGTCTCAGTCCACTTCCAAATGAACTCTGGTGCGGTTTGAATGAAATATATGAACACAACAGACCAAAGACACAAACCAAAGTCACAACAGCCAGCAGCCATATCACCCTATAGCCCAAGACTGGTTGCCCACTGAAGCTAAGCAGGGCTGAGCCTGGTTAGTGC